AATAAAACATAATCGAAAGGATACTCGTAACTTGGTTATGTAAAGTAATTACTATTTTTAATATAGGCTAATGAATGATAAAAAAATAATCACGTTTTAAATGTTTAAGAATATATAGTATAGATTTAAATATTTATGCATGTTTCATTCAGCTTTGATTAATTCGTGTGTTTTAGCAATGTTTAATCAGGGTAATTTATAAAAGATAGCGATGTCATTTTAAAATGAATGTAACCCTCCTCCCTCACTGGACTTTGGACCGGTGTGCAGTGTTTCTTCCAGGCTTCTCCTCGGGACGGGGAGGGGGCGAGTTATCTTTTTAACACTGTAATAGCATTAAAATTGATCAAGTTAGCGAGAAATGCATTCTAACCAGCGTCACGGGCAATGCGCGTGACAGACATCTCGCTCGCGTAGAAAGGTTAGCCTATCAAATACAATTTATCAGGCCTATAAAATAAAAAGAGGCCAATCGCATTAAAATGATCGCACGTGAGCGAAGATAGGCCCTGTGGGCAAATTACAAACATCGCCAGCCCGCCTGCGTTCTTTTGTCAACCAGCGAGAGAAAACTCACAGCACAGTGTGAGCATGCGCTAAAGCTAGTCCAAGTACTTTCTTATCCCAAGTTATAATTAGTATTGTAGGCATATATTAATATAAAGTTCAAATTAAATGTATTTAATTAAGATGTGTGTCTATTTGATTTTTCAAATGTCAGCGCATTAAAAGCGATCACCCGAGAGCGAGAATTAGGCCTATGCCTATAAAACATCGACACAGGCCAAGTGTGACACGACTCGCTCGCTCGCGCTGGTTTGTCAGCGAGAGAAGCATCGCTGCAACGCAGGCACAGCACACACATGTCCTAGTCCATGCGTACTTGGTTTACTAAGTACTAATTAGTAATGTAAGCCTAGACACAACGCTAAAATCATTTAATTTATTAGACCTCTTAAATCTTCATAATCTCTCTCTCTCTCTCTCTAGATATATATATATATATATATATATATATATATATATATATATATATATATATATATATATATATATATATATATATATATATATATAGGGGCGTAGCAAGGGGGGGGGGGTGGTGCGGAACGCACCGGGTGACACCATTTAAGGGGGTGACACCAAGGCAAAAAATAGCAAAATATATAGAAAAAAACTTGACGGGGGGGGGGGGGGTGCAAATCGAAAGTTTGAGGGGGGGGGGGGGTGCCTAATTAAAATTTATGAAGTCAAAAAAAATTAACAAAAATTAATTAAGCTAAATTAATTAACAAAAACAATAAATAATTAGGCCTAAATAAGCACACAAAGCCCAATTCTCACATATTTCAGGGATCAACACAAAATAAAAAAAAACACAAAATAATAGATCGTTTTGGTTTAGGGCTTTTAGAGTCATAGATCAACGCCTGGTGAAAGATCCTTAATTAGGCTTAATTAGCGTAATTACGCTAGCAAAATAGGCCGGTAATGAGTGTCAAGCGAAAAACAATTATAAAACAATTATATAAGCAGCGACAGAGGATACTACTGTACAGCTTCCGTATCAATAGCGATGACGTCACTAACAAAAATATTGTTTGAGTTACATTTTTGAGATTCCTTTTTTACTTTCTCGTATATACGAAGTATATAGAAAGTCTTGTAATCGTGCACAAAAATCACATTAAATTTGGACAGTTTTTCTTATTTTCATCGGGCAAAAATTATAAATCCAGATATATCAAAATTTTGGCGTTTTTATGCGTAATGGATTCGGAAAAACTGGATTATCCAATTCTGTCTATATGTCTGTGTGTCTGTGTATAAACACGATAACTTGAATACCGTTACATCTAGGTTGATGAAATTTAACATATATGTATTATATCAAAATCGTAGATAAGTATCAACTTTTGAGCGATTTCCGATAACCGGAAGTGGAACTTTTTCTACTTTGAATTTTTCAAAAGCCTATAACTTGAGTACTATTTCAGAAGGATAAATGAAATTTCACATGTAATTAAAAGATCTAATTCTCTGCCTTCTGTCAAATTTTGAGTAATTTCCGTTGACCAGAAGTAATAAGTTTCGCTATTTCCGATTTCTCAAAAAACGCATGTGAATTTATAAAGTACTAATAATATCCCGCACTATTTTGCACATTTTATATGACGTTCACTTGGTGTGCAATTCTTTTTTCTACTAGATTTTATTCTATTTCAAAAAGTTTAAGTATTTAAAATGAATTAAAAGTCATGTCTATATCCCGAGTTGCCATTCCCTGTTGTTTCATATAAGAATATTCGAGAAAGCTTAGGGGAGATCACTCCCGGTTTATTTCAAAATGAGTACAGAATATTTACAATTCTAATTCAGTAACATATCAATGGACACCAGCGAGAAAAGTCTCAAAGGTATTTGAGAGGTGTATAAATTCATTTAAAAATCATGCACAGCGCAGTTACAATTAATATGGTTATAAAATCCTGTCTATCTGGTTTTTTTCGGACTTTACTAAAGATTGGATGTATTTGATGATTATAATATGTTCGGTAACTAAATAAAAATTAAAAAAAAAAGCAAAAACAATTTGGTTTTTACGTGTAATGGCGACATAAACAATGGCATCCTGCTATTGGATAGGCCGCCATTGATTTTATTGTACACATTGTAAGCTAAAAATAGAAAACTAGGTCATGGGGTTTTAAATTTGCATTGTTATTTAAAAACTTGATCTGCAAAGTTTTGTAAACAAATAGTTATCGATCACTAAGTTACTGTACAGCCAATCAATATTTGTCTTACGAAAGTGAAACATCCGGTTATAACTTAGGCTTGATGAAAATAAATAGAAATGTAGCCTTAAACTCAACAAATTATTTTCAAGTTCTCTGGATTTGCAACTTTTATAGCATTTATTATAAAAAATATAAAATTTCTAAATTAATTTTAGGCTTAAGTTTTTATTTTTTATTTTTTTTTACGGTCTAAATCTAAAAAGCACGTTTTTATTCCATGTCAACAACATTGGGGACGGAATCTCGTCATCTCGCTCGTCTCCATTTAATAAAACCCTACCTAGCAGTGCAATTTAGGAACCTTACAGATCGATATTTTAAGTTTTTAAACAACTTAAACTTTACCCATGTTTACGTTTGACCTTCATTGTCGGAAGTAATTTTTTTTTCTGTCAAATTAGCTTTGTCATCTTCAAATGGCATAAGATACGCTTTAAAACCTTGTATTTAAAAATATATTCCTAATATTAGTTACTTCAACCGTTAAGCAGAATTTCCTAAAACATGCGTCCGGCTAAGACGCCATGTTGTTGTTAGAAACCAGCCATTCCCTTTAGTTAGTGAGGCAGTTTAAGGTATTCATGGCTTATTGGCCATGGTGAACCCAATACATGGGAGAACTGTAATAATTATGATACTACAGGTTGATGGGGTTCTCAAGCAAGAGTTAACCTGTGCGTGAACACATGTAGTGATTTATACATACATAGTGATTCGTACACTATTAAGGACCACTGGAATCTGGATAGAGACAGTCTGACATTGTAATCAGACATCCTAATTATGAGAAAGAATCAGGACAGAAAGGTAAATCAGCTTAGTAATGCTACTTGAAAGTTGAAACTGGGTAATGTATCGATCAAACTGAGATTGGGGTGGGTGTTCTACAGGCTGTGACTCTAAAAGTAAGGTGTAAAGGCATAAACCGAGTTGAGTAAACAACCAATTCAGAAGAAAAATATACATCAACAGTCTGACTTATTGATCATGTGGTCTCTCTGAATAAAATATTACTTCGGTACATGAATGAAGAAATAATACAACCGATATGAGAGACCCTGGCAATGAAGAAAAACATTTTAGTTGAATATCAATTCAGTTCTGTTCACGTTATTGTTTCAAAGGCAGCATTTTCTATTAACAGATTTAGCAACCTTCTGGCTCATTTTCCATTTGAATACAATTACACTAAGTTAATCCATCAGGCTCATGTTATATTTGCTTGATTTTAGAGGTGAGAGTAGATACATAAATAAAAACCAAGCAACTCCAATAAGTAAGGAATAAAAATATTTTGGTCATGTGACACCAAAAAGGTGCCCATATTTTGTCAAAGAAAACTAAAGTTCCATGCCAGCAAAAGAAAATGTACAGCTATTTTAATTTTATAAAAATTGATTACTTGAATACTGTTTGATATTTGTGTTACTTAATTTTTTTAAATACCTTCCGATTGTTAATTTATAGTTAAACTATCAACATGAAACACAATAACTTAACCAACAGTGAGTAAAAACAAATGTTTAGAAGCCAGTTTATAAGTTCTAAATATTTTATTAAAATTCAAAATTGTATTACACCCAGTTGCCAGGGACCGTAAAAAAAATTTCAAATCACGATAACAAATTTTCCGCACATTATTTAAATTTACAACCTCCAATGTTTTCATCATAACCACCTTATGTGGATGTGAATGAGTCTGAGAAACATTTATAAAATGAGACTCGAGATATGAGCAGAATTTAGCGTCTCTGGGTGGATTACACCCAGTCGCCGGAGAAAGGGTAGGCGTGTTATTGCTCTCTCAGTTTGGCTATTAAAATGAATATTTAGGGGCCCTATTAGGTAATTTACAAAAGCGTTTAGGCCCCACTATTCGAGTATTTAAAGAAGAGTATTAAGTCATGAATGAAGTTTGAAAGTTTCATCTTTTATTTTTATTTTTCTACAAAAGTTGAAGAGTTCCGGTTAGGCTGCTGTTCGCAAAGGGTGGTAGGATTTGAGTATTATTGGAGGTATTATTGAGCTGGGTTTGTGGTTAAATATTGTTAAATCTCTGATATTTAATGGAATACCTACTTGTATAAGTAAAAAATATTGCATTTTTTACGCTATCTCAAGTTTAATTGCTTGACTTTATAATACCGTTAAAAGTTAATAAGATTCCGGTATTTTATCTACTCTTAATTGTTTGCTTTTAGATGTTGAAGTTTTGACACCTGATGTGTGTTGAAATACCATACCTTTCAAACAGAAAAGAGATTGTATTTAAGGTAAACGCTAAAATTTTGTTAATTGTGTAAATAATCTAATCTATATTTATTCAATTTTTTAAAAAGGGGTCAACGATTTATAATTTCATTTACTTTAATATTTAAACTCAATTTTTCATCCTATCTATTTAAACTTTAAACCGACTCAATAAGGCCTTACATAACTTACCTGATAATATAATTTATATTACAAATATTAGCAACGATTGTGAATTTCTTTTATCACCATACTCCAATTTATACAATTGTATAAAAGTATAAGTTAATTGTTTTATATTTTACATGTTTTAAATTAACCAATGTTATTTTTCCGTGTTTATTTTCGAAAAGTCAAGTTCTGACACATATCTGTTAATGCTCTCAACATTTCTTAAAAAATATGTAGGTGCGTGTAATAAAGGTTCAATTAGGAGCCACCACGAAGTAAGTGTTGAAAACATTAAACAATTAAATTTTGTATTGGTTTGATAAGAACGACCACGGTTTGTTTAACATTTTGCTCTAAAATACTTAACAAATATAACTGATGCTATAAAACATACATAAAAATATAAAGTTATAACCAATTCACTAGTTTTAACAATTTAAATTTTCTATATTATAATTAAAAATCAAATTAATAAAAGAATTAAGAAGTTTAGATAATGTTTCATACCAATGATTCATATTTATATTAAGCAGCATTGGCCATGAGCAACTCATACAGCAAGCAAGAAATCAATCAGGAGCCACCAAGTTCAGGAGTAGTATATTAGGTCACTTTTGATTATTATTTTTGGCGGAGCAGGGGATGGGGAGGAACAATGACATATAGTAAAATACTCGGGAGCAGGGAAGGGTGAAGGTACAATGACATATAGCAAAATACTCCCAGCCTGGCGCATCGGGATGGGGAGGGTGGGTGAGCAGGATGCGCTGCAGGTACAACGACATATAGTAAAATACTACGCCAACTGGGGTTGGCGGAGCAGGAGCGTGAGTCACCTTTTGGTGACCTTGTGACGTAATCATTGACCTTGTGACGTAATTAGTGACTTTGTGACGTAATCATTGACCTAGTTACGTAATTTTAATGCGTTTTTTTTTAATTAGTTTGTTTATATTGTGTAATTTTTATTGACGAGTTACGTAATAGGATTATTTGTTTGTATTTTTATTTTGTTTATTTTTAATAAGTTTAATTAATTTGATTTTTATTTAAATTTGATTTTTTAATTAGTTTAATTTTTTAAATTTTAATTTTGTAATTTTAATTTCTTATTTTTATTAATTTTTATTAACGAGTTACGTAATTTGCTTATTTGTTTGAAATTCATTTTAATTAATTTGATTTTAATTACTTTGTTTAATTTATTTATTTGATATATTTCTTTTCTTTGTTGTTTAATTTGTTGGTTTGTTTATTTGATTGTATGTATGTTTAATAGTAAACGGAGAGGGGTGATGGTGGTTTAGACCGATGGTCGGGGATTGAGAGAGATGGTCGGGGTTGAGGGTAGGGGTGTGCTATTGTAGACAAAAGTAGAAAGTTCTTTGTGTCCTGACTTCGATTTAACCACAGCTGTTACTCACTAGCGACAGCTGTTACGTATCGATCCGCCCGTGAACCTTCCCGGCACGGCCCGTGGTTGCTTAATAGCGGGTTCACTAAAGCGATCACTGCAGATAATTAAGCGAAGCCATTAAGCGCATGTTGTTTTGCGCTGCGTAGTGATTTATGGGTTTTATATTGATCGCAGCTACAGGCCCATCACAGCATGATGTCCCACCTAATTAAATTTTGTCATGCATCGTGGGTTTTTCCCCGCTCGGTTTGATAGGTCATGATAATTAACGCAAAACCAGCGTTAAGTGTGGCGACAGATGTTACCACTTTAATTGATTTTTTCCCCGGTTGGGTCCCGTGCTTTTCACTAACAGTTATACGGACAGTATCATAGGTTTTTTGTTTTCACCTAGGCAATGTTTTGTTGTTGGCTGGTGTAGAGTTTATACGAGGGTCGGTGAAGTTTTCACCGAGGTTGGTTTTGAACTCGAACCATGCATGTTTAGGAATTGCTAGGTGTAGAGTTTATACTAGGGTGGTATGGTTTTGGTTTCACCATGGATTGGTTCAAAGTTGTTACATGTATGCTTTGGAGTTGGTAGGTTTCAAACTAGCCTCGGTGAAGTTTTCACCGAGGCAGGTTACAAAGTTGATACAGGCATGTTTTGGAAGTGTTAGGGGCCGAATCCATACTAGAGTGGGAAGGATTTTGTTTTCACCGGACCACATCTTTTGTGCGTGTTTATTCTATTAAAGGTAAGGTTAATATTACTTTTTGTTTTTAGGGAGCTAACCCCATTAAAATACCCTTTAAATAAATATGTATCTAAATAAGTAGTCATATGTATTCCTTTTAGTGTACAACCGACCCTACAAGACAGACTAACCATCGACCGAACCTATTGAGCTACCTACCCATCCCCGAGGCACCCACTGAACCAAACGTTCCAGCTACATCCAACTACACCATTTCGGATCTCCACACACAGCTAACTTCACGTTCAGCTTACGCGTTCAAACCCATAGGTACGTTCATTTTTAATTTTGTTTTAAGTATGATTTTTGTTTCATGCATTTTATTTTATGTATTTAGTTTTATTCTACAGCCAGTGACCTACCCAGTCATCCAACTACTAGACACTTCGTCAATAATGCAAACCGCCCAGTCTACCACCCATCCAGCCATGAGCCGTAACAAGTGTGACATATGCAACCGTGTGTTCACCCGCAAAGACGGTTTGACAAGACATCACGACTCTGTTCACCGCCGACAAGGACATCTCTGTACAACATGCGGGAATCTATTTACACGACTTGACAATTTAACAAGACATTGTAAAACAACACACACCAACCAAATATCACCGACCGACACCCCATCAGCAACCGATAGACAAACTCCACAACCACTATACGTGACCGACAGACAAACCATGCAACCCCTAGCAGCGATCCAAACAACTCGTACCATGACCAACACTATTCCATTAAAGTGACATACGATGTATGACGACATAGCAAACAACAAACGCGTAAAGACTAACAACGACAGTAACGTTAATTCACACACCACTATTTTTCCTGTAGACGACCTACCCATGATACGTTATACATGTGACATATGTGAGCATGCATTCACCTGCAAACATGGTTTGAAACGACATCACGATACGGCACACAGACGACGAAGACATACATGTAGAGAATGTTTGCAAGAATTTACAAGAAAATATAATTTAACGAACCACTATAAAATACCACACACCATCAAAACATTACCAGACGACACATCAGCGACCGACACGAATATCCCATAGGATGACTTCTCACAGACATCTCCTTACACCCAACACAGAAACTCACTTTCTTACTTTTATATTAAAAGACAAGTAGACACAATGTGACATCTCCCCTAGACTGTAGACCGATGGGGTTGTTTTTATTCAATAAAAATTTATTATATATGGTCTTTTGTGATTTTTTAATGTGTTATTGTTTTGTTACTTGTCCCTGAAAGTTATGTAACTCGGTATCCTGTATAAGAGGTATGACTGGAATCAAAATCACGGGAGAGAACGTGACGTCCATCGCGATATTTGAAAACATGGCGATGTTTAACCTCAACCAAAAAAAGGCAATGAACCTAGAAGGAAGACGAATATATATCTTAGTCTTGCAGCAGATTACCTTCCCATGTTCGCTTTAGTATTTCAGTTTTCATCAAACGTCTTTTTGACTTGAACTTCTTTAATTTTTAAGAAAGTTTACTTATACATAATACATTACGTCTAAGGACAATTTTTTATTTTTACCACTCAATGTATTTTCTTTTTCTATATCTTACATTGTCATCTTAATTTTTGATCACCTTAGTAAAAATTTGCTTAAGATTATAAACTTCAAGTTTTAAAAAACAACAACGTTATAGTACGTCGTGTCAAATGACACACCGTTTAAAATGTCTACATTTAAAGTTCACCAAAATAATGACGTAAAAACTAAATATGATATGACGTTAGCATACATATCATTCAATCTAATCACTCTAAAGTACAAATCAATAATTTTTATTGATTAAGGGGCTGGGTGAGTTATTTTTATTCGGGTGCCCAGGGAAGGTTTGGAGTTGGTTGGGACAGATTTTATACACGAGTCGGTGACGTTTTCACCGAGGCAGGGTTCGAATCTAGACCATGCATGTTTTGGAATTGTTAGGGAGAGTTAAACTAAGGTCGGTGAAGTTTTCACCGAGGTTGGTTTTGAACTCGGAACATGCATGTTTTGGAATCGGTAGGTGTAGAGTCCATACTAGGGTCGGGGAGTTTTGCTAACACTGAGGCAGGTTGCAAAGTTGGCACATGCATGTTTAGGAATTGATGGTAGCCGAGTTCATACTAGTGTCGGTGAAGGTTGGTTTTGATCTCGGAACATGTATGTTTTGAAATTGTTGGTAACCGAGTTCATACTAGGGTCAGGGGAGTTTTTGTTAACACCGAGGCAGGTTGCAAAGTTGGTACATGCATGTTTAGGAATTGTTGGTAGCCGAGTTCATACTAGTGTCGGTGAAGGTTGGTTTTGAACTCGGAGCATGCATGTTTTGAAATTGTTGGTAACCGAGTTCAGACTAGGGACGGGGGTGTTTTCACCGAGGCAGGTTACAAAGTTCGTATATGCATCATTGGAATTGTTAGGTAGAGTTAAACTAAGGTCGGTGAAGTTTTCACCGAGGTAGGTTACAAAGTTGGTACATGGATGTTTAGGAATTGATGGCAGTCGAGTTCATACTAGGGTCGGGGAATTTTGTTAGCACTGAGGCAGGTTGGAAAGTTGTTACATGCATGTTTGGGAATTGTTGGTAGCCGAGTTCATACTAGTGTCGGTGAAGGTTGGTTTTGAACTCGGAACATGCATGTTTTGGAATTGTTGGTAGCCGAGTTCATACTAGTGTCGGTGAAGGTTGGTTTTGAACTCGGAACATGCATGTTTTGGAATCGGTAGGTGTAGAGTCCATACTAAGGTCGGTGAAGTTTTCACCGATGGTGGTTTCAAAGTTAGTACAGGCATGTTTTGGAAGTGTTAGGGGCCGAGTTCATAGTAGTGTCGGTGAAGGTTGGTTTTGAACTCGGAACATGCATGTTTTGAAATTGTTGGTAACCGAGTTCATACTAGGGACGGGGGCGAGGGCGGCGGACAAAATTGTCGATGTAGGTAGGGTGCAAGAGATATTCAACGAGGAGTGGTGTCTACAAGTTATGTATCCCAGTCTGTTGGAGTGGTTTCTAGGGGGTTGTGATATTAGTTGAATAAATATTTGTCTGTAGGATTGTCATACAGCCTTTGTCTCTTAAATGGAATAGGTATAGTGCGGGTAGTAGTAGTAGTACGGTCTGTTTATCTAACGGTTGGTATTGAGATTAGTGTGATGACGCAAGTTTGGATGGGAGAAGGGGAACGGGGTTGCGGACAAAGGGAAGGGGAAGGGCGAATAGTGATAAAAATAACTCACCCAGCCCCTTAATCAATAAAAATTATTGATTTGTACTTTAGAGTGATTAGATTGAATGATATGTATGCTAACGTCATATCATATTTAGTTTTTACGTCATTATTTTGGTGAACTTTAAATGTAGACATTTTAAACGGTGTGTCATTTGACACGACGTACTATAACGTTGTTGTTTTTTAAAACTTGAAG